GTTATATTTGTCAGACGTTTCTAATGTTTTGCAAATGCGGGGGAATTAAAAAATAGTCAATGTCATTGCAATTTTTTTTTGTTAGTTGACTCATAAAATTAATAGTCGTGCGATTCACACATTTAAAATGACTTTTATTTTTTACAACCAACAAGTTCATAATTAGCATCTGTACATGACTTTGTAAGATTTTTTTACAGTATAAATAGGATCTAAAAGCCAACATAAAGTCTTGCAAACAATGACACACTATTGAGTATTTTATTACCTCATGAATCTTATATACTGTATGTTTTGTAATATGTTTGCATCATAACATATTAACTATGTTATCTGTATTACTATGTTAACTATATTATCTAATGCTCATATATCTTGTTTATAAAGATTCATGTCTTAGTAATAGCTTTTCCAGATACATTCTCCCTAGATGAAAAGACATCCCAGTTCATTGAAGCTGGAATCCGTAAAGTAGTGCAGGAAATGAACAGTGTTTTTTTTATTTCCAGAATATGTCTAGGTCTATCCCAGTCAGTCCAACTGAGTGACACAATGTCTCAAGTGTGGAAATGTGGTGTGTTTAGGGTAGGAACTATGATACATCATTTAGAAACACAGCAGAAGAAAAGAGGCAATTATGTCATAACAGTCAAAATCACAAACCACATGTGTCATATACAATCAGCTCTGTAGTCCCTTGGTAAAGACTGGTGAAAAGGTTCATGAAACAAATGTCACTGTGGTTTATTCATTCATCTCACACTGAAAATATGCGAGAAATCTAACATTTTAATTGAAATACATTTAGAAAGAAAGCAAAAACTCACAAAAAACCACATGTTACAATTATTGCCATCCCTAAAATTCTTATGAACAAAATGAAACCTAAGCATGTTCTCATTTATATTTGGCTTTTTTTAAGCAGTCACCTGTGACTTCCTGTTTCACTGGAGTATAAATATGAGGTGACACAGAGGCCAAATTACCTTGGGCTGCATTGAAAACTGCACACTACCATACTACACAGTATGTGAATGTAGCAGTAGTATTAGTAGTAGTAGTAGTAATAATAATAATATAATAATAATAATAATAATAATAATGTTTATTTATATAGCACTTTTTATGCTGGTGGCAAGAGGTCATAAAGCTTTACAGTAATACAAGAAATTATAAGTAATTTAAAATCATATAAGAAAAGAACACAGATAAAATTAAAAGATAAATACCAAGAGACGTAGAGCTTTAATTAAACACCAAGTTAAAGATGTATGTTTTTAAGTGTTTCTTAAAAGTGTGCATTGAGCTGGAATTGAGCTCCACAGTTTAGAAGCAGAATAACTGAACGAGACCTCTCCATGTTTTCTGTATTTTGCAGAAGGTATCTGCAGAAGGCCAGATACAGGTGGCCAGTGCAGTTCTTTCAAAACAGGAGTGATATGATCTCTCTTTTTTTGTTTTTGTTAGGATTTGTGCTGCCGCTATTTGAACGAGTTATAGAGGATGTGTTGTTTTCTTAGGGAGCCCGGTATGAAGAGCATGACAATAATCAGCTCTGCTTACGACAAATGCATGAAGAGGTTTCTCTGCATCACTCTGAGATAGAAGGCTGAACTTAACCAACATTTCTCAAATGATAAAAAGCTACTTTAGTGACTGAGTTTACATGCGGGATAAAACAGAGCTCAGAGTCTAAGATCACACGCAGGTTTCGTACTTCAGGTTTGGCATATGAAGCTAAAGAGCCGAGCTTCACATGGAATAGCTTTCTCTGAGTCTTAGTACCAATCACCAGTATTTCATTTTTGTTTGTAAAAAATTTAGCGACATCCACTGAGAAATATCTGACACACAGCTGGTCAGCCTGTCTAAAGAGTCCTAATTATCAGAAGGAATGGAAATGTATAACTGGGTGTCATCATCATAGCTGAAAATTGATATTTTGTTTTCTAATGACATCACCTACAGGTAACATGAACAAAGAGAGAAGCAAAGGCCCAAAAACTGAAGCTTGTGGGAGGAAAAACATTTAAAAATACCTAGTGCATAACCATTACTGGTGCAATCTTTAGTATTGTATTATTGGTATAGTAGGATGTGGTTTTGGATGCAGTCTAAGTCATTCGTCAAAATATGCAAGATTAGAAAATACACAAATGAAATAAGTAAAATATATGCTGGCCTTCACAAATCAAGCAATAGCCATAAAAATAGCTAGAGACCTGAAAATGCCTGTATCCACACAATTTTGTAGTAAAGGCAATGATTCTTTGTAGAACCATAAGTTCTATATAGAACCATTCCATGCTGAAATATATAAAACAATTATTTATTATCGCCCACCGCTAATTCTTTGGTGATACGAAGTTGAAGTCAGCTATTCGCCAGCTTCTTGTTCGAATTTTCCCGTTCCACCTTAAATGGTGCAGCAGTTACAGTCTGGCACTTCAGGCATCAGGACTGCTAGACTATTTAAGGTGGAACATGAAGTTAGCTAGATAGAAACATTAGCGATTTTTTATGCCTGTTATGACGAAAACGACGATAATACATTGAAACGACATTAAACTAAGATAATACGATAGTTATTGTAATTTTTTAACAGAAAAAATACTCACATTTGTGTGTTTCTTTGGTCGCTCACGCAGCCATCTTGCCGGTTTTTCTTTTTTTCTGATAACACTCTGTTTGGAGTGAGCCTCTGAAAAATCTCCGTTTGGAGGGCCATGTAGCCCTAACTCATTGCCCTACCCCTCCATCTTAACAAAAATTGGGACACCCTAACCCTAGATGTGAACGCGCAAAACAGAGGGCTAAGGGCTAAGTGGTAGGGGCAAGGGGTGAAATGGGATTGGGCCCAAGTCTGCAAAACTGCGGTTAGACACCGATTCCATGCCAACAAAGTATCCAAAAGGCGTGTCAGAAGAAAGCCTTTTCTTTTACTGAACCACAAACAAAAGTGCCAGATTTTGCTAGATGCTACTGGAACTTTGACTGGAAGTGAGCTCTACGGTCAGATGAGACAAAAATAGAACCTTTCGGCAACAAACACAAGTTGAGTTTGGTATGAAAAGAAGGGTGGTTATACAGAAAGAACCTCGCGCTCACTGTTAAGTATGGTGGAGGATGTGTGATTTTTTTGGCCTGTTTTTCCTCCAAAGGCTCTGGGAACCTTGTTAGGACACAGGGTATTATGGATTCTGTGAAGTACCAGGACTTTGTAAATGAAAATCCAGCTGCCTTTGCCACAAGGCAGAAACTGGGTTGAGGTTCCAGCAGGACAATAATCCAAAACAAACGCCCAGTCCACACACAAATGGCCACAGTGACCACAGAATCAAGCTTTTGACATGGCCATCCCAGTTCCCTGACCTGCGTCCAAAAGAGAGGACCTAGGACCCTGGAGGAACAGGAGAGATTCTGTATTGAGGAGTGGGCTCAGAGTCCTTGCTCTGTGTTCTTCAACCCCTTAAAATCCCAGGCTTGTAACATATTAAGTGTTATTATTCAGTAAATATACAGAATACAATGCAAACTAGTTGAGTTATTCTTACAAACTAGTTGAGGTTATTAAAGTGTGTAGTAAACTTTGGGCCTGCTGGTGGGCGCTGGCCATTTAAGGGGTTAAGCAATGTAGGAAAAGACTCATTGTTGTTATGTTGTACAAAGTACAAAATGCAAGTGTCAATAATTGTGACACATAGTTTAAAATAATAATAATAAAAGGCTAAAGCACTCATCAGCCATTATTTTCTCCACGGCAACAAAGTTTTCAAAAGGTCCTCAAAATATAAGGACTGCTTCAGCCCAGACCACTTGTTCAATGCAGCACAAAACAGGGCAGCCAATCAGAAGTCAGCACAGAGATCATTTACTTATATCAGTCTTAAAGATATACAGCATGTTTAATTCTGAGGGATAGACAGAGGTTGGAAAATGGTCATGTAAAAATGAACTGTGACTGTTATGGTACATAAAACTATACAAAACATATAGTTCACTTCAGGGAAGGAAATATTTTACAAGATAAATGTAGGATAAAGGCCCTTTAAATGCCTAGAGCTGATCCTTAAAATCAAGCCTGCACCATATTTCTGCACTACTTACTTACTCCTAATTACTGTAACAGCTACTGTAAGCTTCTGGCCATTTAGGAATGATTTGTTAAGAAGTAATTTAATAAGATATTTTGTAATGCAGAGATAGACGGCAGCTTGAAGCGTTTAGGCTGAGCCGTGCACAGAACAGATACTTCATTCCAAAAATATAGACCCACTTGCTTTATGTGGGTCAATAATTGGCAGTCAGGCCTTTGCGGTTGTCTCCACTGTGATGGCATGAAGCCTTCTCTTAAAAAAGAAAAGCCATAAACTAGCAGAGGAAAATGATGTCACTGTCTCCAGGAGATGCACAACATTATCAGCCATGGTAACAACAGTTCTGGATAAAGAAAACGATGCAGGAACGGAATTTACACTGCTATGAAAAAAAGCTATACATTTCGTGTAAGTTTTGTGATTCAATGCAGCTCCAGTCTGTGCCGACTATGCAGTTTCTGTTCTGAGGGGAGCCAAAGCACCTCTGGAAATATGGAGAGAAGGCCTTAATTTGTGTGCATGGAGAACATGATCCCTGCTGAATGAATGGAGAATAATGGAATGAACAGGTGGAACAGTAAAGCAGGGAAGCTGGAGTCACTTTAGAGAGCGAGCTGAGGAATGGATTTATTTAACTGCTGTGCAGATCAGTTCCCATAGAGACAGTGAGCCAATGACAGCACTGACTTGGTCTGGCTGTGTGTCGGTTTTGTGTGTGTTCAGTGCATATAAGGAATGTAGGCTATTCCTAGATTACATGTCAGTAAAATGTGTGTGAGAATCATGCATGAAAAAAAGCTATTCTTATGATTAATGATAACAATAACAACAATAATAACAATACTAAAATGTGTACAGCAACAGCTTTAAGAAAGCAAGAAATCAAAAGAAGAGAAAACACATCTATGGGTGACTGGGATACATGTCTCTATAGAGTGGCTTCATCACTCCATGGACCTTGGCCCGTGCCTCATCAACATCTTGCCAGGTATTTCGGCCCTGCCGCCGATGGTCCGCCACATCAGTGAAGTGTGACTGCCGCCTTCTGAAATCAACCATCCTGTCCATCACAGCCTTGACAGGTATCTAAAAATGTAGCCAGTCAATCAGTAAATGTTTTTTTTTTATTTTACTATTTATGTTAGTCATTACACTGGCAGACAAATATGTATTGAAGACATCACTGATGACTTTGTGGCCAAAAAAAAAAGAGCAAAAATAAATTAAGTGCAAATGATGCACATGCCATGTGCAAACACACACATAGTAATTTATTTTCAGTTGTATTTATTTATTTTATTTATGTTTATGGACAGTTTAGTTGTGTAGCCTCTTTCTGTGGGCCCCCTAGTGGTCATTCCACCAGTCAACTAGTCAACCTTTTGTTGTCTGATTAACTAGAGCACTGGTGGATGTGATATGTTGTAACTGTGTTGACCTGCGAGTGAGCAATGAGGGGTGAAAGAAGAGGCTGTGAAAACAACTCGCATCTCTCCACACAAACGGCTGTGCCAAGAATAAACAGACACCACAACTGTAGCTTTCTTCATATCAAAAAATCATGCCACTATTTCAAAACAATAAAAACAATTTTTGACTTGCTTGCTCACCTACAAAGAGGAAAATCCTGACTGAAATTAATGATGTATTCATTCTTTTTCATTCTTGCATACAAAATAATGCGATCGGGGTGGGACCCCAAAGTAAGACGTCACTTACACTGACATACCAGAAGTCATGGGATAGCTGTATGTATATTGAGTGGCCTTACCTCAGTAGACAGATTGGGAACGCCCACACCTGTATAAGTTGTGAGGTGTTATCTTGTGAGTGAGGTTGAACACTGGCCAGCGTGCTCATGGCAAGGCGATGTGAATTATCAGAGTTCAAACAAGGCATGATAGCAGGTGCCAGACGGACGGGACATTCTGTTTCTGAAGTTGTGTGGGCATTTAACATTCCTCGATCCACAGTGTTATGTGTGTATCGAGAATATGTCATAGAAGGAATTCCCGCCCACAGTAGACAGCGTAGTGGCTGTCCACAGGTGCTTAATGATCATGACCGGCGGCATCTGGCTAGAGCTATCTGTGCGAACAGACAAGCGACTTTGGCAGAAATCATATCCACATTCAGTGCAGGAGGCCCCACACACATATCTTGCAGGTCAATGCAGCATTCTTTAGCTTCCATTGGATATGGGATCAGAAGACCCCACCAGAGTACCTGGGCTCGTGAGATTGCTAACTGGACCCTAGAGGACTGGCAACATGTGGCGTTGTCCAGTGAGTCATGGTACCAATTGTATCGGGCTGATGGTAGAGTTCATGTGTGGCCCAGACCCCATGAAGACATGGACCCTAGTTGTGAACAAGGCAATGTGCCGGCTGGTGGTGGTTCCATAATGGCATTGGTTGGGTCCACTGGTCCTCCTAAACATGTCATTGACCAGTGACCACTATGTTTCACTCCTGGGTGATCATTTGCAGCCCTTCATGGACTTCATGTGCTCCCACAATGATGGGATATTCCAGCTGGCCCAAGTTGTCCAGAACTGGTTCGAGGAGCATTCTGGAGAGTTCCGACAAATGATGTGGCCTGCACCTTCACCCAACATGAGCCCAATCGAGCACTTATGGGATGTGGTGGAGAGGTCCATTTGCACCCGAGATCCTGCACCTACAAATACCACAGAGCTGTGGGTGTCTATCCAGATGGCATGGCTCAATATCCCTCCAGATGTCTTTCGTGCACATGTGGAATTGATGCCTCATAAAGTTGCTGCACTTTGCCGGGCTAGAGGGGGTCCTACATAATACTAGTTCCTGTCCCATGACTTTTGGCACAAGAAAAAAACTATTTTGTAAAATACGGTGGAAAAATATACTGTTGGTTGATTATTATTGGAAGACTGGCCTTTGCAAAACTGATACTACAGAAAGCAAATGAGCCCTCTAACAAATCTGTTTACAATGTGTTGTGAACGTCCTGACCTAATCACAGATATTCCAGATTTGTGACTGTGTGGTTATTTTTATGAGTCATAATCACATTTACAAGATCCAAAAAACACAAATGGTTCTTGTCAAAATAATGGAGACGAATCATTAAAGGGGATTTCCACTGATTTTTTTTTAAATGCATGATTAAATGGTTAAGATGCAAAAACGTTATTCAGAGTGGTTTGATGTGAAATTCCAGACAAACTTACTGTTTCAGAATTGTTCACAGTGGTGGTGACAGAAACCAGATGCCCAAATTGATTCCTGCCTTTAGAACCTACTACATCACAGGAAGTTATTACTTTAAATGGTTATGAATACACTGCCTAATGCCTATGGTATTGTCTTATGATAGTTTTGAGATAAAATATTATCTTAAAACATATATTTTAAACACCAGAGCTTGCAGGGCATTATAAAATAGCCAAAAACAAATTTGACCACAGTCAGCATTATGTATAAAACTCTTTATCTGTTTAGGTTCCCTGATCATTTCGGATATAAAATGAAATGGCCAGACACTGCGACCCCATTGATTTCACGTCAAATCTCTGAATGACTCTGTTTACATTTCAACAATTTAATTGGGCAGAAATGTTGAAAAATCAGTGGAATTCCACTTTAAAGAGAAATTACTCACATTTTTTTCATTTTTTAAATAATTCAGTCTTTGAGATGTAAATTCATGCCGGATGGTTTGGTGTGAAATGGTGCATAGCAGAGAAACTTACCGATACATTGCAAACAAACTTAAAGATTTGTTTACAGTAGTGGTTATAAGAACAAAGGGTTGCAATGTCTGCAGTGCAAATATAGCCATTTTATTTACTATCCAAAACCAGCAGTTAACCTTACATGTGTCTTCTGGAGTTTGTTAGTATGCAGTGTTCATAATATAAATACTAGTGGCAAATCCAAAAAACAAAAAAGTTTTCTTTGGCTACTATTTTGACTTACTCTGCCCAGCATGAACCTCTCCACCCATAGATTAAAAAAAACACATTGTGGGCAAAAACATGATCTCAAAACTATTGTAAATATGTCCTAAAGCCTCCTAAGAAGTAGCTTTTAGGGCCATTAAATACTTCAGACATCTGGTTCCTATGACAATTTTGACTCAGTAAGTTTCTCTAAAATGGAGTATTTTTACAGCAAACCACTCTGAATGGCTTTGTTTCCATCTTAGCAACTGAAATATGCAGAAATTTTTAAAAGTTAGAACAATTTCCATTTAACTCATCAAGCATTCCTCACTGTAACATAAGACACAGCATAGTTTACGCATCTTACATGTATAATATATTGTATAGTACAATATATTGCATGACGTGTCGTGTAGCAATGTCATTGTAACATGGTATTACTATATATCTATAACATGCTAAATAGATTAAATTATACTAAATGTTATAAATAATAATATAATAATTCCATGTTGAGAGACGTGCTCAAATTCTTTTAATAAGCTGCATGCAATTCACGTAAGATGACACTCGGTTCTGACAGCCTCTGAAATTCTTGGACGCTTACACAAATGATCCTGAGAGAAGCTGAGTGTACAGTTCGGTGTATCCCTATTTCCTGTTCATGAGGAGTGACTTTGCAAGGACTAGGTTTAACGTGAAGCGTATGTGGTCCTTCAGGGCTTAGAGGTAAGCTGCCTGCTCAGGACGGTGGAAATTACTGACCATATTACTCATATGGTAGCAGTTTTTTAAAAAAAGAGAGAAACAGTAGAAACAGAACAATAAAGAATTACAAAATCGATGTAATCTACTTTGGAATGAAGAAAATGACCAATTCTTTCTGACATTATTTGAGATTGTGCAGGGCGTGTCTCGCATGTCTGTTCTACTGAGAAATTGCCAGAGACTTAGCTGTTCATTAGATGCTTGCAGAACAATTCAGCTTTTGCCAAAATATGGAGGTATTACACACCTGAATAAAACCCTCAATGTCGAACACATGTATTTGTATGCCAAGGTTTGAACAGCCCTGGTCATATTACATGTATGCATATATACAGTTCTAGCAAACAAACAGTAATTTTGTATTAAAATATGCAAAAATTTGTTCTCTGTAGGTAATGCGTTAACTTATTCTCACTCAGAAAATCAACAAAAAATGACATCTGACCAGGGGTGCCCAAACTTTTGCATATGACTTTGATCGTACATCCATTATACTTACTGCCTCCTTCGTGGTAGTACATGGGGGGAGGTAATCCAATGCATATATAGTACACAGTTCCCTGAAATCAGATGTATACAGTTGCATTAGGTTCTGCAGTAAGCCTCTCTCTCACACTGACTCTTGTGAAGCAATCTGCAAAGAAATGTGCTTTTATATTAAGAAATCCATCATTAGTCGGCATGATTTAGATTCATATTAACAGGGAGGATCTACTGAGCTCCCGAGTGGGGCCTTGGCCTATGCTAACGATATTCATCACTATAAGTGCGAGATTAAATTCTCTGTTTTTTTTTCAGTGCAATGACTTTAACTCATACTGTTCATCCAAATCACCAGCCAAAAGCTGCCTTTTGTTATTGTGATGCAGCTCTCTGAGAAGTTCAGCTTGCGAGCATGACCTCTTGTGATCTGTTATGTGACCAGGGGACCAAACATGCCAGGAAATGCCTGGTGTGAGCATTGAAAATCTGTGTGCTTCCCTGCAAGAATCAGGAGGATAGATGCCTTGGAAACAGGCCTCCTGTGAGTAAAACACTGGAAGAGCCTCACCTCACTTTTTCCACAGTCTCCTCTTAAGTGACCTTTTGGAAGCCTGAAGCACTTTCCCCACATTTTAAAAGCAGGGAAGAGTAGAGGAACGCTGTTTTTGAAGTTGCTTAATAATAATAATAACGCTACGGACTGCATTATATCACCAGTTTTATTATAGTGGGTATATGCTGTACACAGGTAAGTGTGAGCATAATGCAATTATTCATCATGAGCAGATGTAGGCCTATCATTACTCTAGCAAAATATCACCAAATATTCACATCAGTGTCCCACCACATCAGTACTCTGAGCCCTGCTGACCATCTCCCTCTACTGGATGTCCTAGTAACTACAGTCTTGTCCCAAGTTACAAGGGTGCTTGAACGTTTGTGAACCCTTTAGAATTTCCTATATTTCTGCATAAATTTGACCTAAAACTTCATCAGATTTTCCTAAAAGTAGATAAAGAGAACCAAATTAACAAACGAGGCAAAAATATTACACTTGGTCATTTATTTATTGAGGAAAATGATCCAATATTACATATCTGTGAGTGGCAGTATGTGAACCTTTAGAATTAGCAGATAATTTGAAGGTATTTTCAATCAATGGAATCGCAATCAGGTGTGAGTGACCACTCTGCTTTGTTTAAAGAACAAGGATCTATCACAGTCTGATCTTCACAACGCATGTTTGTGTGAAAATCTGATGAGGTTTTAGGTCAAATTTATGCAGAAACATAAATTTTCTATGTTTCTGCATAAATTTGACCTAAAACCTCAAGGGTTCACATGCTTTCAAGCACCACTGCAAAAAATACTCTTTTAAAAGGCATACTAACAAAAAAAAAGGTGTGACGAAATACTAAAGTGATGTACTGCAGTGGAGGTCATATGGGAAGCATGGAATTCTGCTTACATATCATTATAGTCTGGTCGATGGTAGGGTAGAATGGATTTGCACCCTGTATGTCCTGCTTCTCTGTAAGAAAAGGAAAAAAAAGACGAACTGTAGGTTTAAATCATAAGCAAATGAGTAGCATATGCAGCAACAGAAATAGCTCATCTAAAAGAAAGACATGAAGATCAGAGTGGTAAGACTAATAATAGCAGTAGAAATGGCAAGAGATCATTCAGTTCATTGTATCCCTATGAAGAGTCTTAACAGGCCTGTTGTACCTGTCAAATACCAAAGACTGGAAGGAACTGGCTTGCACCATCGATTTTGGAGTTTCCTTGGCCTCATACTCTTTCTTTAAAAGATACTGAGACATCTGGGTTTCAGTTGTTGTGCTCCAGTCCTGAAAGTAGAGCATATTAAGTGGAATTCCACTGATTTTTCCAATTGGATAGTTCTGTCATTGAGATGTAAACAAAGTCATTCCGAGTGATTTGCTGTGAAATGGTGCATTAAAAGAACAAACAGAAAAAAAGACTTCACAGTGCTAGTAATAGGAACCTGGGCTTGCATTATAGCCATTTTATTTACCATCCAAAATTGCTGAACCTACACACATTGTTTATATGCAATGTTGGTGATGGTAAAATAGTGGAAAATCTAAAAAAGGTTTTCTTTAGGGACTGTTCGCCTTACAATAACCTGCATGTACCTCTCCACCATTAATGGATTTTTAAAATATGCTTTAGGCCAAAATCTTCCCAAACCTATTGTAAAACAATATTGCAGGCATCAGGCAGCATATTCACAACTATTAATGCAATACTGGTGAGGTAGCTTTTAGGGGCATTAGACCCTTCAGATGTCTGGTTCCCGTCACCACCACTGGGAACAATCCTGAATTAAGTTTTTCTACAGTGGAGCATTTCACATCAAACCTATGCAGAAATGAACGATTTATGGTCTCAGTACACACTGATCAACCATAACATTAAAACCACCTCCTTGTTTCTACACTCACTGCCCATTTTATCAGCTCCAGTTACCATATAGGAGCAATTTGTAGTTCAGACTGTAGTCCATCTGTTTCTGTGGATACTTTGTTAGCCCCACTTCACCTTGTTTTTCAAGGTGTCCACCACAGGGCAGGTATTATTTGGGTGGTGGATCATTCTCAGCACTGCAGTGACACTGACGTGGTGGTGGCGTCTTAGTGTGTATTGCGCTGGTACGAGTGGATCAGACACAGCAGTGTAGGTGGTTTTAATGTTATGGCTGTCGGTGTAGTTGCTGTACTCGCTGTACTTACTGCATCCATGCACGTCCCAAAATGTTTATAGGTTGACTTGTGTAATTTCTTTTGTCCATCTCGACATGCAGTGAGATCATAATCTTTTGGTTCTGCCTCCCTGTTTTGGTGCCTTTATGGAGACAAAGAAACTGTCATTTAGTATTATAGGTTAGTATTATTTAGAACTTAGGTTAGCATGATTTGCTCCACACTTACCAATTCGAAACTAACGTCGGTCTGCTGTAATTCATCTCGAACTGACTAACGTTAGTCTGGTACATTCGGGGTGACCGAGCACTAAATAATACAGCTTTTAATACACTGAAGTCTGTTCTGATGGCCCTTACGTGCTTTTGACAGCCCTTAATGTCACAAAGGCTAGATTTTTTAGCGTAACAGTTGTGCTTGTAAAGACGCCGCTCGCGTTGCCATGACAAATGGGAGCGCGCGCGTGCGCGACGCCCGTAAATAAATTATTTAACGTATAAATAAATAAATAAATAAAAGTCCCGGATGAGGTTGAGTCACTCGCGCTGACGTCACCCGCGCTCTGAAAATGGCCGAGTCGGAAGAGGAGGTGGATGTCTTGGTCCAGAGAGTTGTCAAAGATATCACTAACGCTTTCAAGAGAAACCCGAACATGTACGTAGCTTTCGCTCAATCTTTGCTCGTCTTTAACGTCTCATGAATGCGGGTGTTCAGGCGTCGCTTTGCTGGCTAACACTGCAAACTACTTCTTTGAGCTAGCCGGGGCGCTAACGCTGCTCGCCGGACAGGACAGGTGTAAGTGGAGCTACGCTAAGCTAACGCTAGCAGATGCTGCTCAAGCTTAGTTAGACTCTTTAAAAAAGATGGTTCTAAAAGGTTATTTAGTAAAGGGAACGGTTCTGTTTAGAGTTCTATATAGAAGAGTTTCATGCTTAAGTGGTTCCTTGCGTGATGAAATGGTTCCCCAGACTGAGAGAGAATGTGTAACGTTATATGGTTCTAGATAGAACCTTCTTGAAAAGAGTTCTGCATAACACCAAAAAGCGTGCTGCTATTGGACAAGCTTGACATCGTAACAATAGCAGAACCCTTTCTGGTGCTGTTTAGAACCATGTTGAGAGGTTCTATATAGGACCTTATACAACACTGTCTCCATCAGTCTGAATAACCATTTCACCATGCAAAGAACCATTTAAGCATGAGACAACTCTTAGTTCTAGATAGAACAATTCCCTTTCCTAAAAAAACTTTTAAAGAACCATCTTTTTTTAAAAGTGTACGTGTAATGGAAAGTCGTAGCCACTGCTGAGTGCAGTAGCTACTGGGTTACCTTTATCTAGAGGAAGTTCCATGGGCTTAAAATACTTAGCTAAGTTAATGTATTTACAGTCTATTTGCATTTCCTGCCGTCTTTGTACTAAGTTAAGCTTTTGCAAGTGCTCACCCGCTACATTGATGTGCTGATTATTTCGCTTTATCCAGTAGAGATGTAGTAACAGAATCCTGACTGACTATTAAATACAGCTCAGATCTCAGACTACAAGACGGTGACTGTTTGGTTTCTGTCTGCTGTTGTGTGGTTATGTGTGCATCTTATTCGTATTGCAATCCACAGTCTGAAGTTTAATTTGAACTGATTCTGTTAATGATGATGATGTATGTTTGGTGAGGATTTGACCCATAATATTTTTCTCATGTGCTTCTAAACTACACTACATGTCCATCTGCCCATCCAATGTTTTTTCTGAAGTCTAAGGTATTAATAGGGAGTTTATCCACCCTTTGCTGGAGCAACAGCCTCTGCTTTTTTAGGAGGGCTTTATGGTAGAGGAACATTGCGGTGAGAATTTGATCGCGTTCAACCACGAGAGCATTAGTGAGATCAGGTACTGATGTTGAACCGTGTAGTTCTGGTTTACAAAAGCCACTCCAACTCATGCCAAAGGTAGTGGAAGGAGCACCATCACTTCAGAGAACACAGTTCCACTGCTCATCCTCTCTAGCTGACACTTATCATTGGGTATGGTGGCCTTAGACTCATGCGTGGCTTCTCCAGTGTGCCCATTCTATTGACAAAGCTTCTTTATGGAGATTATACAAGCTATATGTGAGTGTCTGTTCTAGAGGTTGTATGTATTGTTTTGCCGTCTTTTAGTAGCTCTGGTAGCTCAGCTTAAGCTCAAGTCTGTTATTTAACTTGTGTCTGTTCTGTTGTTTATATCTCTTTTGTACATCTGCTTTTTTGTTGTAGAGATGAAATTGGTCTCATACCGTGCCCAGAGGCACGCTACAACAGAAGCCCCATCGTCTTGGTGGAGAATAAGCTGGGAGTAGAAAGCTGGTGCGTAAAGTTCCTATTGCCCTACGTGCACAACAAGCTGCTGCTCTACCGACAACGCAAGCAGTGGCTGGACCGGGAGGGTGAGACTATTTCTTACTCAATAATATAATTCCTCTGGTTCATACTAAATTGTAGCAAAGATGTGACAAGGACACAAGGAACATTGAAGGCAAGGCATGAAGACGGTATACTATAACTCATTTGTTTCAGGAAGGAGAGGGAGGTTGATTCCAGGAGACGTTTATGTCTTTGCTGTTGTATTTCTCTTGTGTAGGTGTTGGCAGTGAATGCTAATGATAATAGATGATCCGAGCTTTGCTGGTAAACATAATTCTTTCTTTTCCATGCAGTGCTGGTGGACATCACTTGCACACTACTGCTGCTAAACCCAGACTTTACCACAGCTTGGAATGTCAGGTACTGGATCTTTTGAACTATTATGTGTGTCACAGAAAAAGCTTAAATGTAAATATTTGGCCAATTTATGTATAGAGTCACCTTTCAGATCCTAATTGGCAGTTTGTACAGGTTTAACAATGGACATTTTCAGATTCAGTATGAGGTGAAGATTTGAGTCAATTTTGACATTGTGTCAAAAATGTATTGATTCTACAGAGCTCTAATTATATACTACTCAGATTGATTTTGGCTCAGTTTTATTTCAGTTCAACCGGCAACTGAACAATGCAAAAATAGACAGGATGCACACAGATGCCTAGTTTTGATCATTGTGGTTTCTGTGAAAGACTGAGAGTGGGATCAGTGATAGTTTTAAATTCCAATACACTGTTTTAAATGTTACTGTTCCTGTTTTTTCCTCACTATTAAAATCATTACACCCTTAATAATTTGATTCCTTTCTTTTCCTCATAATCTGCACTGCCTGTCTATTTTTAGAATGTATTTTCATGCTGACTGACAACTAGAGGGTGTTTTTGTTTTTTTTTTTGGTAGCAGAGTTCCGACTGCTTTTTATAGACAGTTTTTTCAAATACACGAAGAACTGCATTAAAGAGCTGACACTGGGGCCTTTTTCCGTTTATGCATTTCAGAGCTTGCAGTCTTAAAAATGAATTTTGTTCTTTGAGGAACTTTCTCTGATTTGTCAAGAGCAATATTTTAGGTGACAGTTTCCTAATCAGACAGCTGTGACCCTGTTTTAGTCTTAAACATAATGGTTTGATGCCCAGCATCTAATGTTAAGGATGCTCAATAGGTATAGGATCACAGCATATTGTCCATTAGGTGGAGCTCTTGTCAACACACAATGAAGCTAAATCAGGTCTGCTGTATTATTTCAATATTATTAGATCAGAGTGCCTCTAATTGGTACATTTTTTTTTTTCTTTGAATTTGTAGGAAGGAGCTGCTTCAGTGTGGTGTGCTGAATCCAGAGAAAGACCTCTACTTGGGGAAATTAGCACTGACCAAGTATCCTAAAAGCCCAGAGACATGGATACACAGGTCAGGGTGCTTCTGATTCATCTGTGAAAACAGTTTTGTACTTTATGCAAAGCTGATAGGTGCATAAGAATGTGTGTGATGTATTCACCCATTCAAAGAGAATGGTTGTGGTATTAATTCAGCATGAATTTTGTATGTCCTGACTCAATTAAGGCAGCTACCACAGATGTGGCTTCCACTCTATATACACTTAAATGAGGCCAGATGAGTGAGTCTTTAAAATATTAAATATGTGAATTAGCTTTTGCAGTCTGCATCTTGGCATGGACCAAGCGGGCCTGCTATTTTAGGAAGTCCATTAGAATTCATTTTTCAGCACATCATTTCAAATCAGGTCCTGACAGCTGTGAGTAGCGGATCATGTAGTCATCAGGTCCCCGAGGAGTTTTGAGGAAATAGGGGTCACACTGTTCTGCTGCCCTGAATCTCGTAGAACTCTTGAGAGGGAAGGTGTATTCTCTTACATTGGCATTCTGTTCACTGATTAGTTAGAAGACCTCTAGCTCAGATGTGCTATTGCAAGTATTTCTGATTTTACATTTTTAGTGTACTGCTACAAATACTTTAACTTGGACTACTTGGAGTCTCTTTTTTCATTCATAATGAGTTAATATTTTCTAATGATAGTGTTACTTTATTAACAATAACTTGTACGGTGTAGGTTTACATTATACAGTAAACACCAGAAGGTGTGTGTATGATGTGTAATACAAAACATACCTTCCTGTGTCTACACTCACTGTCCATTTTATCAGCTCCACTTACCATTTAGGTGCACTTTGTAGTTCTGTAATTACAGTTTTTGACTCTGTTCTTCAATGGTCAGGTCCCAACAGAACCACTACGTAGCAGGTATTATTTGGCTGGTAGATTATTCTCAGTGCTGCACTGATGTGGTGGTGGTGTGTTAGTAAGTGTTGCGCAGGTCTGAGTGGATCAGACACAGCAGTGCTGCTGGAGTTTTTAAATACCTTAATGTCACTGCTGGACTGAGAATAGTCCACCAACCACAAACATCCAGCCAACAGTGTCCTGTGGGCAGCGTCTTGTGACCACTAATGAAGGTCTAGAGGATGACCAACATAAACTGTGCAGCAGCAGATGAGCTGTCGTCTCTGACTTTTCTCAGTCCAGCAGTGACACTGAGGTATTTAAAAACACTCCAGCAGCACTGCTGTGTCTGATCCACTCGTACCAGCACAACACAAACACACCAACACACCACCACCACGTCAGTGTCACTGCAGTGCTGAGAATGATCCACCACCCAAATAATACCTGCTCTGTGGTGGTCCTTTTAAGATTGAAGGAGGCTAACAAAGTATGTAGAGAAAAACAGATGGACTACAGTCTGTAAATGTAGGTCTACAAATTGCACCTATATAGTAAATGGAGCTAATAAAATAGACAAAAAATGTAGAAACAAGGAAACGTACTTAATGAGGTGCCCAGTGTGTGTGTGGGTGTGTGTGTACATAATTTGTGTTATATATTAGAATTAAATATGATAGTCAGTGTGTGTCTATGTTGTAATAAATTATTAAATATATCATTGTATTACTATGTAATTGCTTATGTCTATGTATAATATATGATAATTACAGAACATTCATCACTTATTTAATTGACTGTGGGT